TGCTGTTTCTCTTTGATTAACCCTTCTTTATGTTCCTTTTCCTACAGGTTCATAAATTTTACCGGGGAAGTGGGGGGAGTTTCAGCAAAGCTCAGGAGGAGTGGACCACAGGGGCATGGAAGAATCCACACGTGCAGCAGGCAGCCCAGAATGCAGCCATGGGGGCAGCCCAGGGTGCCATGAATCAGCCTCAGACTCAGTATTCTGCCACCCCCAACTACACACACTCCAACGAGATGTGAACCAGTCACACCTACCAGGTGGCAGGGCTGGGGCCATTGGGACAGGGGGCTCAAGCCACATCGTCATTTGTGGTGACCAAGCAGGGTTCCCCCTTCCCTTTTCCCCTTCCCCAATTTGTACAAAGGACCAGAGTTATATATATATATATGTATGTATATGTCTGTCCCCTGGCCCCACCTTTTGAATTCTGCTCTTGGCACTCAGAGCTGTGGGCTGCGCGTGGAGCTGTCCCGTGCAGTAGTAGCTGTGTCTGTGTCCCCTTGTGAAATAGTGTGCAGTGGAGGTCTCTTGTTGTGGTGCTAGATGTATGTTTAGAGCTAAACCAGCCCCCCCACCCTCTACCTGGCCCTCCTGCCCCTGGCATCTCTGACCCTGGCCCAGGGACTCCTCACAGGGTCGGGGGAGGCATAGCAGAAAGCCTGGCCCCTTCCTAGGGTTATCAACTGGAACTGTTTCCACTTTCAGTCTTCCCGGGAAGCAATAGTATTTAGCACTCGTGGTGGTGGGTGGGGGGGGTGGGCACAGGCCCAGGATATTCCCTTGCTCTTCTCATCTATCCAGGCCTTCCCTCCCTCAGCCTGCACCTCCCTCATCTGTTCCCTGATGTCATTCCCTGTGCTATCTTCCTTGCCCAGGGCCTGTCTGTCTCTTTCCCATGTGGCTTTTCTTTGTCTTCCCCAAGGCTGAGTATCCCAGTTTTATCTGCTCCTGAGACTGAGCCCAGATCCCCAAATCTGATCTGATTTCCAGTTCAAGGAAGCTGGTAGGGGAGCTGGGCCTTACCCTGATGTAGGAGGAGCACATAGCTTGGGGGTGCAGAGCCCACCTGGGTACCTGACCCCCAGGGGATGGAAATGCAGGTGAGTCTCCTTGGGTCTGAGAGTTTGGTCTGCCGGGGCAAGTTCCTCTTTTCTCTCCCTGACTTCTCCTCCTCCTCTCCAGCCCCCTTGAGCCCCTCTGCCTGTGTCCCTCTGCCTCCTCTCCATGACCCCAGCTGCTGTGGCTTGATTCTCCTACCCTTACCCCACCATGTGCCAGGTGGCATTTGCCTTACTGCCTTCCCTGAGGAGTTGGGTCATGCCGGCCAGTTGTCAGATGTAAAGGCACAGCTAGAGCAGAGGGCATGTCAGTAATGACTGGTCCCTGGGGGAGGTCTGGCTGGCTCCAGAACACTGGGGATCTAGGTATCTCTCAGTGACTATGGATTCCTGGGAGCAGTAGCTGTTCTGTTTGGATCTGGTAGAAGGGATCTGGTCCAGGGCTCCATGGACTAGGCTCGGAGGAAAGGTCAGCAGAGAAGGCAGGCAGGGCCCAGTGAGGGGAGCATGCCTTCCCCCACTCTGGCTTGCTTTTGGTCACAGGGCAGTTCTGGGCACTTGAACTCAGGCCCCAGCAGAAGCACAGGCCCAGTCCTCACTGCAAGCACAATGGCCTGAGAGAGATTTCCGGTTAGGTCGGGTGGGAGGGGAGGCTCTCTGGCTTTAGTTTAGTTTAGTTTCGTTTTCCAAATCAAGGTAACTTGCTCCCCTCTGCCTACAGACCTCGGTTCTTGGCTTGTCCTCACCCAGTCGGAACTCCCTGCCCCTTTCCGGAGAGTGGTTTTAGGCCCATGGGGCTGTTGTGTTCCAAGTGGGGTGGGAACACGGATGGTAGAGGCTCCAGCTGTGTGTGGGGCCTGAAGGGGAGCAGGTTCTCACGCAAAGAGCATCTGCCTATTTCCCTCCACCCCTTCTCCCAACAGAAGCCTGCCTGGGCTGTTTGGACAAAAATCCAAACCCCACTTGGCTACTCTGGCCTGGCTTCAGCTTGGAACCCAACACCTAGGGCTTCTAGGCCAACCTGAGCCAGGGCCCTCTGGTAGTTCTCCTCCTAATGGTCCTTTAGGCTTGGGCCACAACATATGATTGGCTCTCCCTCCTCTTTGGAACCTGAAGAGGGACCCTAGGTCTAGGCCCTTCTTCCTCCTCCCTTCCTTTCCCCTACTCAAGACCTGGAAAAGGAGAGAAGGCTCCTTTTCCCTTCTCTCTCTGGTAGCTCCAGGAGGCTTGTGGTCCAGTTCCCTGCCTAGCACTCATAACCTGTTGGATGTTATTGCCAATCAATTTCCTGTCCTATCTGCCTCTTTGGCTCAGACCTATATGGCCACACCCTGGCTCTACCCTTGGGAAAGATGGATCCCAGTGTGTGGCCCAGCTTGTTCAGGCCCTGGGATACTGCATCTCCAGGCAACTATGCACTTTCCCAGGGAGGGAACCAGTATGAGAAGCGGGGGCAGGGCACACATTCATCTCTGCAGGAAGGTCTGGCCTGGGGTGAGGTGGAGGAGGGCCCAGGTCAGTTCTGGGGTCCCAGTGACCTGCTTTGCCATTCTCCTGGTGCCACTGCTGCTCCCTGTTTCTGGAGATGGACATTCCCCAGCTGGCAGTTGAGCTGCCTGAGCCAATGTGTCTCTTTGGTAACTGAGTGAACCATAATAAAGGGGAACATTTGGCCCTGTGTGTTCTGCTGTGTCATGTGTCTTCCTGTGGGTTTGTGTGGAGCCTCATGGCAGGATGTGGGGCAGGGGCATGAAGGTGTGGGGGCTGCGTGGGTCTGTGGTCTGTCATTCCCTGGGACCTACAGTTATGGGACCCTGTGTGGCTCTTTCTCTGAGGCAGCCTTGAGTAGACGATGAAATTGCCACTGAGGGCCTCTGCCTTGGGAGGAGGAAGTGGAAGAAACAGGCTGGATCCCTGGGTAAGGGATGGTTTGGCCCAGATGGTCCACTGTGGCCAAGGGCAGGGGTAGAGCAGAGGCCCCACCTCAGCTCAGGGCAGGGACCCGCAGCTGCTTCAGCCGCCTCAATGAACACAGGTTTCTGGGGCCCGTGAAGGCTAGAAAATGAAGGGGACAGGGAAGCATGCCCAGTGTTCATTCTCCTGCCGCCTTCCTGTTGCCCATACAATGCCCTCCACCTGGATCAATTTGGGATCCTCTGTCTAAGCTCCTGGCTGTCCTTCAAGATTCACCTCAAGCCACTCTTTCTAGAAGGCTTTCCTAGGTCGGGTGCGGTAGCTCAGGCCTGTAATCCCAGCACTTTGGAAGGCTGAGGAGGGTGGATCACGAGGTCAGCAGTTCAAGACCACCCTGGCCAAGATAGTGAAACCCCGTCTCTACAAAAAAACTATAAAAATTAGCTGGGCCCAGTGGCAGGCGCCTGTAATCCCAGTTACTCAGAGGCTGAGGCAGGAAATCACTTGAACATGGGTGGCAGAGGTTGCAGTGAGCCAAGATCGCGCCATTGCACACTCCAGCCTGGGCCACAGAGCGAGACTCCATCTGAAAAAAAAAAGAAGGCTTTCCTGCCTGGAGGTGTTGCTTCCTCATGGAGGACCTTACCCTGTCATTTTCTGTGTCCCTGTTTGTCTCAAGAACAGGGATGCATCTGATTTATCTCTGTATCCTGTGCACCTACAGAAGAGGCTCGGTAAATATTCGCTGTTAAGTGCCCGAAGCCCTCTTTTACTGAGGACCAGTTAATATGGGCCCTATTTGCACTAACACCATGAAGATGGCCCTTTTCTATACTTCCATACATTAAAAAGTACCACATGCACCTGGGCAGCAACTTACGCATGAACAAGCATGTGTGCAAGGAGACCACCATTATTCCCAGCAAAAAACTCCCAGGGTGAGTCGCAGAGGCTCACACCTGTAATCTCAGCACTTTGGGGGGCCAAGGCGGATGGATTGCTTGAGCCCAGGAGTTTGAGACTGGCCTGGGCTATATGGTGAGACCCTGTCTCCACAAAAATTACAAACAATACAGTGGCTCACGCCTGTAATCCCAGCACTTTGGGAGGCCAAGGTGAGCAGATCATGAAGTCAGGAGTTTGAGATCAGCGTGACCAACATGGTGAAACCCCAGCTCTACTAAAAACACAAAAATTAGCCTGGCATGGTGACATGCATCTGTCATCCCAGCTACTCAGGAAACAGGCAGGAAAATCGCTTGAACCCAGGAGGTGGAGGTTGCAGTGAGCCGAGATCAAGCCACTGCACTCCAGCCTGGGAAACAGAGTAAGACTTCTTCTCAAACAAACAAACAAAAAACCACTAGCCTGGCATGATGGCACACACCTGTAGTCCCAGCTACTTGGTAGGCTGAGGTAGGAGGATGGCTTGAGCCCAAAGCATGGAGGTTGCAGTGAGTGGAGATCGCGCCACTTCATTCCAGTCTGGGTGACAGAGCCAGACCCTGTCTTAAAAAAAAAAACCTCCCCAACAAGATAGCAGGCTACAATATGTATGTGATGAAGCTGATTTGAAGGGCCCAGTGAGAGGTATCTCCAAGTTACAGGAGGAGAAGAAAGGAGAGACAATTATGTTCTTGAGGTCTCAGCCTGGATCAGGAGATCATTGAAGTATTAATAGATCCTGACATTAAGGAAATGTGGACGTTTTTGGACTTTGGCAGTCTGCCCAATCTGCAGGTCACTCAGCCAACAGTGGGGACGAATTTCAAAACGCCACGTGGAACTGTTTGAATCTTTTTGAGATAACTGTAATATTATCAATAAACCTGAGACAAGAGCAAAAATAAAAAAATTTTTTTAAAGGCCCCAAGCAACGAGCAGCGTGTCTGGGGATGATAGGAGTGAGGAGGTCGGACTGTCAGGCCAGTCCCTGCGGAGTCCCAGCAATACAAAGAGGGAGCCAGGGTTTGCTCCAGGAGTTACCCAGTGGACTACAACTCCCGGAAGGCAGAGAAGTGGACAACAACTCCCAGAAGGCTGCGCGATACGCAGCCCGCTCGGTACTCTCGTGAGGCGTGCCAGTTGGAGTACACGGTAGGGACCGCCGAGATACCGCGATATTTGGCGGCGACCCCGAGACGCGCCTCGCGCGGGTGAGCAGATGAGGGGGGTTGGGAAGCCGGGCGCTCGCGGCGGCGCGGGAGGGGAGGCCCGGGGAGCTCTGGTTGCGACCGTGGGCCCTCTGCTGTCTGTGTGTGTGTCCTCGCTTTCCCTTCTGTGCCCGTAAAGCTCTGCTTGGCAGCTGTGCGTCTGTGCGACCTCACTTTCCCAGCTGTACGGGTGGGGCCGCCTGGAGCAGGAGGGACCCCAGAGCCCGGGAGTGGAGGGTTTGCATCTGTTCCCGCCCAGCCCGACTTTCTGCTGCCTTGCGATTATGTGTCCAGTGTCGTTTAATCTAGTTTAAATGATGGCCATGTCAGCTTCTCACACTTAGCGCTTACCCGGGCTGCCCAAAGTACATTTAAAAAGTGGATGAAATAGAAAAAGGAAAGCCATGGGATGTTGGAAATATCCCTAGGCCTGCCAAAAAGCGCTGAATGGCGTTTAAAAATTAGGCCAAACTTTGTCAGAAAAGAAGTTCCTCCTGTCTTTGACGTATTTGGAAGCAGGTGCTAGATGGTGAGCAGGAGAGGTTCCCAAGTTGAATGGTGGGTGCCTTGGAGCAGGGTTTCCACATCTCTCAGTGGCTGGGAAGTAGCTGTACGCAGTCGCTGCTTCCAGTAGCTCAGGTGTGTGAGTGCGTGCGTTAGGTACATTCATTCCTCAGTATGCACAAGGAATTGCAACACACACACACACACACACACACACACATATATATATATGTTTTTTTGTTTGTTTTTTGAGACAGGTTCTCATTCCGTGACCCAGGCTGCAGTGCAATGGGAGGAACATGCCTCACTGTGGCCTTGAACTCCTGGGCTCAACGGATTCTCCTGCCTCCCGTGTAGCTGGAACCACACCCGGCTAATTTTATTTTTGTTGAGACAGGGTCTCATCATGTTGTCCAGGCTGATCTCGAACTCCTGGGCTCAAGCAATTCTCCTTCCTCGGTCTCCCAAAGTGCTGGGATTACTGGTGTGGCTACCACATCAGCCCTCCGTATACTCTTTTTGAGTCAGGGTCTCACTCTGTCGCCCAGGCTGGAGTGTAGTGGTGCGATCATAGCTCACTGCAACTTTGAACTCCCTGGACTCAAATGATCCTCCCACCTCAGCCTCGCAGGTAGCTGGGACTGCAGGCACGTGCACCACACCCCTCCGTATACTTTAAATCATCTCTAGGTTACTATAAACCCTGATTCAGTGTAAATGCTATGTAAATAGTTACACACTTTTTTATTGTAATACTATTATTATTTTTTGAGACGGGCTCTGTCATCCAGGCTGGAGTGCAGTGGCACAAACGTGGCTCACAGCAGCCTTCTAGGCTCAAGTGATCCTCCTGCCTCAGCCTCCCAAATAGTTGAGACCACAGGCGTATGCCACCACACCTGGCTACTTTTTGAATTTTTTTGTAGAGCTGGGGTCTTGCTGTGTTGCCCAGTCTGGTCTTGAGTGCCTGGGCTCAAGCAGTCTTCCCACCTTGGCCTCCTAAATTGCTGGGATTACAGGTGTAAGTTGGAGCAGAAGCTGGGCAGCCAGTAGTGAGGGGCTTTGATCTTAGGCTGAAGGATTCAGGCTCATAATGGATCTTGGATCCCTGCATACCCACCACCCACTTCCCTTCTTTGGTTCTGCTTTGTCTTAGGCCCAGTTCTCATCCTTCCTGTATTGAGCTTGAGCTTACATCCTGTCTGGCCTTGCTTGCCTTGCTCCTGTCTTTAGCCCTGGTTCTGCCCCAGCTCCACCTTTGCCCATATAGGGACTGGCAGGTCTCCCTGAAACCTAAAACTCTTCCCTGAATCAAACTCATCAGAGGAGACTTAAACATCACAAGCTGAGGCTCTTTGCTCTGTCTGTCCCTGTCTAAAGGACAGAGAAGCTGCCATTTTTCTGGCTGTGGCTTACCTGCATGGCTAGTGCCCTGGGATCTTGAGGCTCTGTACTCACAGCCTGTAGCCTTATAACCTGCCTGCTTGTCAACTCTTTTTGCTACTCAGGAGTCCTGTGAGGCACTGTCTGCATCTACCCTTGCTTTGCAAATAGGTGACTCCAACAGGATCTGGTTACAGTAATAGACTTGCTGGTTTAAAATGTGATCCTCTTTGCAAGCAAACAAAGGAATCCTGCCAGCTGTCAGTCTTCCTAGGATTCTCAGGTTGAACTGATTTGACCTCGCCTTCAAATGTTGGTTAAATGATCCACTCTGTATTCCTCAAGTATATTACACACACACACACCCCCTCTTTTTTAGGAAGATAGGTAGGTTTGGTCCTTAGTACAGCTTTGCTAAGCAGGCTAATTACTGTATTTTGGACTATAGTGCCTGCTGTGGGGAAGCAGTTGGAATCACTAATACAGATTCCTGCCCCCAAGTTTAACTGATTGCTTTCTGTAACCTGCTTCCTAGGAATGAGATCAGCTTGATGTGGAAGAGGTTCAGGGGCCACAGAGATAAAATGTGGCTTCTGGTTTTGCAGGAATCTACCTATCCTGGCTCCTGTTGGCTAGGGTGGGACAGGGTCAGGTATGAGATCTGGCAAGTAGGTTTCCCTGGAGAACAAAGAATGTGCCTCCATCACCTACCAATGATGTGTTCTGGGAAGAAGCTGGCCCTCTGTACCTTGTCAGATGCTAACAGGCTCCCCACTCCCTGGATAAACTCAGTTCTCCAACTCTGGCCAAGTATCGCCCTGGTTGGGTTCTTGCAGTGGAGCAGAGATTGAGATTACTGGCAAATCAAACTTTGGGTGATTTTGCTCTAGGGAGCCAGCCTGTGCTTAATCCCTGCTGAGAAGTGGGATGATGGAGACAAACATGATCCTCAGCCCACGTGGGTTGTGCCCAAGTGTTGAAGGCAAATCCTGGGCAGAGAGGCTGGAGAGCCAACGGGCCTCTGAGTGAAGAGGAGGCAGGCCCCTGTAGATGCTCAGGCATGGAGGTAGCCATTGGGCGACTCACCAGCACTGCTTCCTGGGCAGCGCCTGGATTTCCCTTGCCCTGCTGATTCTTTTTTGAGTGCATCTTCTAGGACCTTCTGTGTCTTGTACGGAGAGCCCCTTACTGCTGTCTTTCATGTATTGATTCAGAAAGTTTTTGCTGAAAGGTGCTTCAGAGATCATATGGTCCTACCTCTGCATTTTTCAGATGAAGGGACAGGTCCAGAGAGGGAATGACGCTGGACCAACGTCACTCCAGGTCAGGAGCACACTATGGTCAGGGCCCAGGATTTATGATTCACAGGCTGGGTATCTATCCTCTGCCTCACACTGCCTTGGAGGGTATAATTATTTTTTATTATTATTATTGTGTGTGTGTGTGTGTGTGTGTGTGTGTGTGTGTGTCTGCTTTCCTGCTACAGTGGCAGAGTATTTGCAAGGGAGGAGGGTATGATTATTTATTCAGCAGATGTTCGGGACCACCAGCTAGTGGACTGGTGGTTGGCAGTTAGACCTGGTCACGAATTCAGGGAGCTTGCCGTTGGAGGGAGAGGTCAGGAAACGTGTAAATTGAGTCTCATCACCAAAAAGGTACATCCCAGGGAAGGACTGATCTCAAATAATTTCAGGTGTGATTCCTGTCATCTCGAACTCACCTACAGATCCCCCAGAGACAGCTGCTGTGTTTCCCACAGTTCCTTTGCGTGGCGTTCAGTGTAATCATTCCCAGTGATGGTTGCTGATGAAGCACTTTCTGCTGGCCCAACCTGCTGCGTGTAGGTTTTGGGGTCTGTCAGCCATATTATCATGAGCACCCACTTCTAGCAACATCTGAGAGCCAGAGGAAGAAATAAACCAGCTGGTCTCCAGGGGTGGCTGCATCCCCTTTATGCTCGTTTCTTCCTGGGCTTTGATTTGTATAGTGGTACCCATCTTGATTAACGGTCAGGGACAGAGAGGCAAATCTCTTGGCTCCCTGGAGCACCAAAACCTGGCTTCCACCTGACGAGCACCTGTGGAACCCATCCCCTCCTGCCACCTCCTTTTGCCAGTCAGTGCAGTCTACCGTAGCAGCTCCTCTCGCCCTCCTGTCCCTCCACCAGCAGGGTCTCTTTGACACTGTCACCAAGTGCCAGCATTATCTTTCTAAAACCGAAACTTTTCACCCTGGCCCTTGCTGCCCACCACATTCTGGCCTCACCCTGATTTCCAGCCTCCCCTCCTGCCGCTCCACCACCCCATATCACACTCCAGTCTCACTACGAAGCCACTCCCTGCTCCCCAACCTACAACCCTCCTTCAGGACCTTCACCTTTGCAAGATTGTTTCTTCTTTTGATTTATTCCCGTCTCTGGAATATAGTCCCTCAGGACTCAACCCGAACATCCTCTTTTCTGGGATGCAGGCTCTGACTTCCAGAGACAGTCACTCTGAGCAGCCATGGCACCCGGCACAGCCCTTCCCCATGGCACTGCCACATTCCCTTGTGACTGGCCCATGTGTGGGGAAGTCACTTTCTTATCAAACTGTGTCCTTTCAGAAGCCGGGACTGCTGATCCCTTCCGCTGCCTCAGCATCTGGCCTGGGGCCCAACATATAGCGCTCAATGCATTCTCGTAGACTGTGTGAATGAAGGGGTGGCCCTTGTTCTGCTTTTAGATGCTAAATCCTGACAGCTGTATGGAGCCCAGTCCTGGCAGGCTCCCAAAACTTGAAGCCACCAGACCCCACATGGAACCAAAAGCCTCCTGTCCAGCTGCTGCACCCTTGGTGGAGAGAAAATTCCATGTTCTTGTGGGTGTCACGGGGAGTGTTGCAGCCCTCAAGTTGCCTCTTCTGGTGTCAAAGCTTTTGGACATTCCTGGGGTGAGTATCCTCACCAGACAAGCATGGCAGCCTCTGGCATGGGAGACGCTGCTCCCAAGGGCTGCCCATTGCTCTGCAGTGCGTGGATGTTCTTTTTCTTTATCATGGTAATCATGTTTGTGGAGGTCCTGTGTGTGTGGTGCTCTGTGGAGGATTCAGGAGACAGAGGCCAGTGCCCAGTATAATCAGGGGCTAGATGAGCTAATCCAGACAGAGTGTGAGGGGAGCCTGGGAAAGGACCCAGTGAAGGAGGATTTGGGCTCCCATACGTTGATCCTGAGAATCTGCCAGGTTCTGTGTGGGAGGAGGGCTGCCTGGAGAAGCGTAGCAAGTTCTCAGTCCCAGCTCCTGCCCGGGACTTCCCCGCCCCCACTTTCATTTTGTCTTGAATACTGCTGCTCTGTTCTCCCACCTCGTGAGACCCCCATGGTTGTCCTGTCAGTCAAATGCTTTGAAACCCCATTGCCCCTCCTCAGAAAAAAAAAAAAATTTTTTTAAAAAAAGGAAGAGAAAATGGGAGTCCTCCTCTGAAAAAATAAAAAAAAATAAAATAAAAAAAAAAAGAAAGAAACCCCATTGCCTGAGGCTCTAGGTTCAAACTTTGCTCCTTCCGGGATTCAGAGATGCCCCAGCGACCCCTGACTGTGTGCTGGGGTTGGGGACTCTAGCCCCCATCCTTGGCCAGAACCTCAACTTGGATCTGTTTTCTATATTGGGGTGCTGGCGCAGAAGTCCGCGGCTTTAAACAGCGTGAAATCTAACAGGCAGTGGCCCCACTTCCTAGTTGGGTCTCCAGGGCCCTTTCTTGGTCTTTTATTTTTTTAAAAAAATGGGGTTTCATCATGTTGGCCAGGCTGGTCTTGAACTCCTGACCTCAGGTGATCCACCCACCTCGGCCTCCCAAAGTGCTAGGATTACAGGCGTGAGCCACCGCGCATGGCCTGTTGGTCTGTCTTACCCCTTTGGTCTTTGCGTGGCTGGTCCCTCCTTGGCTGGCTGCCCTCTCTGCTCCTCTCCTGCTCCTCTCCTTTTCATCTGTGCAAAGCCTTCCCTGTCTGCCCCAGCCCAGCCCCTGTGGTTTTGGCCCCTTCTTTTAAACTCATTTGACATAGAGCCATAGGTTGCCTTAGACACTGCTGGTGTTACTGGCCCCAGTGTTAGTGGGGTCTTGTGAAGTTGTTGGGCCCCCGGCCTGGCTTTTCCCTCTCTCGTATTGGCTGAGCACCCATGGTGGGGTGGCCCAGGCAGCCATATCTGGCATGTCCAGCAGGGGGCGGTGCTTTGTCACAGATGACCATGTGGTCCCTCTAGCTGGGGCTGGGCTGGGAAATGTTTCACTTTTTTACTTTACCAACTTCCACTCAGAAAATCACCCCGTCACCCCACCCCAAGGGCTGGGGTAAACTATGAAGCTGCCAGCCAGGGATGACAACCAGGCCTCAGCAGGGGAGGGAGGAGAGTCTCGTGGCACTCTGAGACTGGGTGCTGTGCTTTTAGGGCAGTGCTGCTTAGGCCCAGCCACCCACTGTGTACCCAGAACCACTGGTAGGAGCTGGCCAGCTAGAACCTTGAGGGCTGGAGGCCTGGAAGTGTTTGCAGCAGCGAGAGCCTCTGCCACCACCCCCTGGGGAGGAAGGGAGCCAGGCAATTCCTTTTTCCCATAGCCCCAGAGCAAGTGTGTTTCCGGATTGGGGGTGGATAGGGGCGGGGAGTCCTATCCCAGGAAACAGATGGGCAGCCTCACAGGGGAGGGAAATGGCAACCCCACCGCTTCCTCTCATCCCACGCAACCAGCGTTGGTGGGGGTGGTGAGGAAAGGGTTGCTTGGAGCAGGGAGGCACTCCACCCATCCCAGGGCCTTTTAGCCTGGGCCCCATGGAGGGCAGGCCATGTCTGGAGCAGGACTTGGCTTCCCCTTCCTGGCTAGAGTTGATGCTGCTGAAAGTGAGGCAGCAGAGGGCACTGAACTGGGAGGGAGGGAGGGCTCCCCGTCTCAGCCTCTTGGAGCTTGCCTTTCCCATTTGAAAATGGGTGATTCCTGCTGCCCATCCCCCAGGCTCTTGTCAGGCTCCCTGAGATGTTGGCTGTGGTGGGAGAGGACACAGATGAAATAGTCTTGTGCCAGTGACTCAGTGTGGAGCCTGGCATGCTATGTGTGTTTCCTGGCCATCACCCTGTCCTTTCCCCTTGTTCCTGTCCTTTGGGCCAGCCACTTGGCATGAGGCAGCTCACTGGGAAGAGCCATGGAAGCCACAGTCCACCTGCTCTTGTGGAGGGCCCCATGCCTTTCATCTGCAGGTAGGCGGCTCACCAAGCCTGGCCTTGCTTGTCGGGGCCCTCGGGAGGTGTTGGGATCCAAAAGTCATCCCTGGATTGCCTTGTGTTGACCCCAGTGGTGGCATCTACCCCTGAGCACTCTCCTTCACTCCCTGATGGCCCTCATCTCCACATTGCCTCCTGCTGGAACTCCTGCAGGAGCGTCTTTGTCCCTTGGAGCAGTCACTTTCAGCTCTTCGCCTGCTGAGTCTTGGGTTCACGTGTTCAAGGCTTTCCTGAACTTCCTTAGGTACATCCAGATTTTGTCTAGCATACAAACAGCTGGGGTGTGGGCTGCAGGGAGCCAGAGGATTCTGCAGATCTGGTCCATCACTGTTCCTGATGGACCAGTATGTCCAGACCTCCTGGGAAAGCTGCTAACCTCAAGGTAGCTAAATCAGGGAGACTGAGAGGGGTGGTGGAGGGACGTGGATTCGACACAAGCCTCACACACCAGGAGTGGGGGAGAGCAGCCACCAGCAGAGACGACCTTGAGTATTTTGGGGCAGGTAGACAATCATGTCTCAAGAGACGCAGCTGAGCACGTTTCTGATGCTGGGACCCCCGGTAAGTCAGTTCTTATTGGCCTTAGTTTTTTATCCATACAATGAAGGAGGGGCAGGTTCTCAAGTAATCCATCTCCAGGGCCTCTTCTGGCACCGGTGTTAGAAGATTCTAGATGTACAGGAAAAAGGACTAGGACCCAAAGGCAGCCTGAGAGAAGGTCCTGGGGCCCAGGAGCTTCAGGGACAAGGGGGTTGTGCAATTCCATAGTTGTCATGTAATTGAGTGGCGGTAAAATCTGGGTTGTCAGCTCAGGCAGTTTCTTCCCTGGGGTTGTCAGCCTGGTCCATGCAGGGGAGTGAAAATGCTTTCCTCCACCTTGCAAGGTTGCTTGGCTGGGCTATGAGTTCAATGGACTTGTTTGTATAAACAAGATTAACAGGGCCAGGCATAGTGGCTCGTGCCTATAATCCTAGCACTTTGGGCTGAGGTGGGCAGATCACTTGAGGCCAGTTTGAGACCACCCTAGCCAATATAGTGAAATCCCAACTCTACTAAAAATACAAAAATTACCCGGGTGTGGCAGGTGCCTGTAGTCCCAGCCACTCGGGAGGCTGAGGCAGGAGAATCACTTCAACCCAGGAGGCAGACATTGCAGTGAGCTGAGATGGTACCACTGCACATCCAGTCTTGGTGACAGAGCGAGACTCCATCTCAAAACAACAACAACAAAAAGATCAACAGGAGGAAACCATATTTAATGACATACCTGCCCATGGGTGTACCACAAAATATGAGATTCCCAGAAGGGTGAGGTGACTGAAGTGTATAGCAGCCTGAGCTACAGAAGGGGATAGGGGCTTTGGGCGTCTGAGGGTGATGGCGACACAGGTTATGGAAGCATGAGGGGAGGAATTGTATGGGGAATAAAGGTTGTCTTGTCAGACAGATAAAAACTTCTCAGATAATAAAAGATGTCTCAGCAGATTGTCAACAAGTCAGTCTTCCCTTCCCAGGGAGGGGGATTCAGGACAAGGGGGAATCCCCCTTTGGGCAGCTAAGGGGAATTCAGAGAAAGTTCCTCCCTGCATTTGTTTTTCCTCCCAAGTGACTTCGGGTTGGAAATAATCAGCATACCAAAGCCGCATATTATGGGGTGGCATTTCCTGACCGCCTTCCTCCACACCCTTCAGACTTGGGAGAAGACAGGCGTCCCCCTAGCTTTTGCCAGGGCAGGTGTCAGCAGAATTCAGAGCCAAAAGGGCTTTTCTAAAGATAGAGAAAACCGCCCACTCAAGGAGTAGGCTGGCCCTGGGCTCAGAGAAGGATACATTTTTGGGGTGTCCATCAGGACATCCAGGTCTGTCGAGGGTGAGGAAAAGAAGCCTCTGCTCATACGCAACGTGGAGTAGATTCTGACTTTTTGGAGGATCACTTGACAATATTGAAAGAAATGAAACATATTCATAGGCCTTGCTTCACCCACAGGATTAAACCCCTTGTGTATTTACAAAGTACAAGGATGTTCCTTATAGCATTGTTTATAATTTCAAAGCAAAACCAAGCAAACAAAATGTCCAGCAGTAGAGAGCTATGGTGCCCTTATCACTTGTGGGACAGTCTCTCAGTGGATTCCTTGGCAATGGTTCAGAAAAATGGGGTGGCTCTTTTTGTGCTGATGGGAGCAACCCTGGAGATAGAAGCAGAATCAGCAAGGTGTAGTAGCTAGTGAACTGGGCCCCCCAGGCCAAATCTGGTCCAGTGCCTGTTTTTTTGTATAGCCTACAGCTAAGAATGCTTTTTACATTTAATTTTTATTTAGTTTTTCATTTTTGAGACAGTCTTGTTCTGTTGCTCAGGCTGGAGTTCAGTGGTGCAATCACTGCTCACTGCAGCCTCAACCTCCCAGGCTCAAGCAGTCCTTCCAGCTCAGCCTCCCAAATAGCTGAGACTGTAGGCATGCCATCACACTCTGATAATTCTTTTCCTTTTTTTTTTTGTACAGACAGGGTTTCGCTGTGTTGTCCAGGCTGGTCTTAAACTCCTGGGCTCAAGTGATCCATCTGCCTCCACCTCCCAAAGTGCTGGGATTACAAGTGTGAGCCACTATGCCCAGCCTGATTTTTACGTTTTAAAATGGTTAAAATAAGTCAAAAGAAAATTAGTATTTTGTGACTCATGAAAAGGTGATATGAAGTTCAGATTTCAGGTCCAAAACCGTTTACTGGAGCACAACAGTACCCATTCATTTACGTGCTACCTATGGCTGCGTTCCTGCTACTGGAGTGGAAGAGTTACAAAGCCTGAAACATCATCTGGCCCTTTCTAGAGAAGGTTTGCTGATCCCTGGTGTGCAGCCTGATTCCCTCAGTATGTTCATTTCTTGAGTTACTCTGTGTGTTTCTTCCTCTGGAGGTGGTTACCTTTGTGGACAGGGACCAGCGGAAGAACGGAAATGTGTTTTTCATTTCGTATCATTCTGTTCGGTTTTAATTTTCTAACATGTGTATGTGTGTGCTTTTGTTAAATCAGTGGGGCTTTTGGTGGGAATATCGTGGAACATTCTTGGTAACTTTGTGTGTGTGTGTTTTTTTTAAGCATTCACTGAGGAAAGAGCAGGAGACATACGGCCTGGTTTGAGGAGTTCCTTTTTTTTCTGGGTGGGGGCCACTTGCCCATTCTGTGGTCCTGCTGTGGAAACCCGGAGACCTTTATTTGTGCCTCCACCTGCTTGGCTGGCCCCTTCCTCCTCTGGCCTACAGCTCTGTCGCCTGCTTCTCTAGGGACAGAGCTCTGTTGGCTGCTGGTCAGAGGGTCCTGCACCCCAGGGTCCTTCCCAGATAGCCCAGAACCACGTCCCTGTGCAGGGCATTCGTAGACCACCTCTCTGGTTTCCTTCTTGAGAATTTCCTGGAGTTGGGGAAGCACACAGAGGATTGGCACGAGGATCTGACACAACCAGAACACCAGCTTCCCCAGGGGCAGATGAGAGAGCGGCTATTTCCTGCCAAGCCCAGCGAGAAAGAGTCAGGGTCACAGAAGGGCTAGGGTGGCACAGTGAGCTGGCTGGACCCCTACAAACCATGTGGTCCAAATGGCTCATGTATGGGTCATAAGGGAAAACCAGGGACAGGAAGAGGGGCTCACCCACAGCCTGCTAGTGAGTGAGTTAGCAGAACTGGGGCTTGAGGCCAGGTTTCTTGGGTCCTATCGGCAAGCGAACTTGAGGAGCTCAGACCTGGAGCTTATTCTCTGCTCAAGCTCACCAATGCTTGAGGATGGTGGAATTTGGGGATTCCTATCTTGGCCTGTCTTGTAGTCGGGCTACCTGTACCCCACATATCTGTTAGACTGAGCCCTAGCAGAGGGTGGGGCTTGGAGCTTAGCAGCCCTGCCCCTACCATATAAGAGGCTCAGTAAATGTTTGCTGAGTCGAGACATGATCATGAGCCCTGGAACCCACTGAGCCAACCAGAACTCCCTTGGGGGTTTTGTTCACGAGGCCACCTCCTCCACAGCTCCCCCACCTCATGTGTCAACCGCACTGGGCCCTGAGAATCCTTTTTCCTAGGATATACCGGCCACTCCCATGCTCAGGTTAGTGTTAGCTTCTTGGCTGGCCGCTAGGTCCTGGGCACAGATCTGGAGCATGCCAGCGTCAACACTGGCAGGCCCAGTGTCAGGATCCTCTGCCATATGTCCTGGCCCAGAGGCCTGGGCCACCAAAGCCCTGGATTCCTTGCTTTGTCACAGTTTAAGTGCATGCCTGCCCCTTTTTCTTGAGAATCCCCCTTGGTCTCCAGTGGAGCCATCATCATGCCCTACCAGAAACGCTTGCTCTCCAGCCGCTCAGCTGCTGGCTCCAGCTGGGCTCTTCTCCTTTTCTTGTATATGCCAGATTTGTGCTATCCGATAAATTCAATTTGAATGCGGCAGCCACTTGCCACATTCAAATTTAAATTTAAATCAATTAGAATGTAATAAAAATGCAGTTCTTCAGTCACAGCAGCCACACCTCAGGTGCTGTGTGGCCACATGCAGCCAGTGCTGCCACACTCTGCAGCACAGGAAGGGCGGTTCCCATCATTGCAGAGATGGAAATGCTCTTTATGGATAATGCTTTAGAGCTGTGGTTGTCAGCAGGGGCGATTTTACCTCCCAGGGGACACTGGACAATGTCCATAGACATTTTTGGTTGTCCTAACTGAGGGACGGTGGTGCTACTGGTTCTTGGTTCTAGTGGGTAGAAGCCAGGCATGGACTTGGCGGTAGAAACCCAGGCCAAGGAATTTGTCTCATCCTATTGCTACCAAGAGCCTTTCCACAGGTGCCTTTGATAATCTGCCCTAGAAGTAGCCTGGCCACACTGGGAGCCTGAAGTAGAGAGGGGAGGTATCGCTCTAAATTCTGATTCCATTTCTCCTGACCAGACCCAGATCAAGATTCTTGATGTTTCTTCAGCAAAGAAAAGGAAACCA